TGCTATCTCCATTCAGCATTCCAGTTTAGAACCACTGGAAAAGAAGAGGAAAATCTTCATTTTTTTTTTTTTTTAATCCATAGACATCTCCATGAAAATTTTAGGGATCTTAAATTGAAATCCATAGTTTGTACAAAAAGTGATTCTAAACTTAAGTGAGGTGATTTGGAGAGAAGGAAGCTGAGTTGAAAGAAAATTAAGCAAGTTGAAATGTTGACTGCATTAGAAATTGCAGAACTGATTTAGGATTTCATCATATCAAGATCCATACATGAGCCTGACTGTAGACTGAGCTTCTGATATGCCATGGTAATGAGTGGTAAATTAAAGCTGTTAAGTATAAGTTCAAAAATGCACGGTCCTGAACCTGATATAAATTAATAGTCTATGTTTACATAACTTTGTGGAATAATACATAATTGAGTGTATTGGCATAAATCTTAACTACTCAGTATTTTCCTCCTAATGGTCAGTGAGGGCTCTAAGGCAGGAATTTGACATTTCACATAGATTTTTCTATTAAATCTTGTATATATTTTGCATTATTAAGAGTAACCACATGAACTTGACCCATATTGTTGTCCTTATTCCACCTAAAAAACAAAGGAGATTTTGCCTTGTGAATTTACAATTAATGGTAATATAGCTGTAGATAATTGTAGATAATTGTCACCCTACCATGACAGCTATCATGATATCTTCACTAATAAGTCTTCTGGGAAAGAAACTTTTTGGATTCCTACTGTCTGCAGATAAATGCTGAAGAAATTCTTAAATTTGAAAATTGTAGCTATCCTTGATCTGTACCTAACAATCTTTTCCAACTTTATCTTAGTGGTTTTCCACTAAGACATAACACCTATATTTTCCCTTTTGCACTAGTTGAAATCTTTGTGACTCTTAGGGCCTGGTTGAGAAGTGGCCACTTTCCTCACAAGCTACCAAAAGACGTGAACTCCTGTTTTGTTTCTCCTTGGTGCTTGGCTTATCTTCATCTTGGTTGTGGCTGGAACTGTTATATGTTTATCAGCCTTACCTTCTTTTCCTCCTGGGCGTGTAGCTAGACCTCATTTCCCAGATCAATTTCCGGTAGATGTGTCCATTTGTCTTCGCTCTGGCCAATAGAAGGTGAGACAAAGAATATGTGATAGTTTAAAGCTTGGCCCCTAAAAGACCTCCCACACAATCCACCATTTCCTTCTCATTTCTTGTCTGCTAGTGGGATTCAGAGGAGTCCGCAGGTATCTAAGATTCTAGGCTATGAAAAGCCACCAGGTGAAAGAACCCTGGGTGCCAAATCTCTTAGCAGAAACTGACACTGAAAAATGGTATGCATGAGAAATGAGCTTGTATTATATCAAGCCACTGAGATTTTAAGGTTGTCTGTTACTTCAGTTATCCTGCTCATCAGTGTGTTTGTTATATTTCAGTCATTTATAGTATTTGTTATATTTCTTCTGTTTTCCACAGCACACAGGATGATGTCTCTGCATAAGAAAGATTCACTATATGATTCATGATTTGAAAACATCATCTTGTATTCAGAGCTTATGGTAAAAGTTCTAGAGTCAGCATTAGATGAAAGGTGGTAGGAGCTGAGAAGCGGGCAGTCAAACTTCTAGGTAAGAAGTGCTGGAAGGCAAGTGTTTCGGCATTGCTGACAGCGCTTCCAGGACTTAATTTGCAACATTACCACTAGTAGCTACATCTGGATTTTACATCACCATGGTCAGAAGCCTTCTTTAAAAAGAAAGGCTGTCCCCTGCAGGAAACCAAGGGAGGCAGAATCCGAGGATTACAGCAGAGGAAATCCACATCAAAAAGTATTCCTAGAAACATAACTTTTTGAAACCTCTGGTGACCTTTGAGGTCATCTGTTGATCACTGAAGCCCCTATATTATGAGAAAGCTGAAATTCAGAGAGGTATATTATTTTTCCCAAAGCCCCTGTTGCTACACTGGGATCTTCTCTGTTATACATACCTTTATTCTTCTAGTTTAAAAAAATAAAATAAATTTTTAGAAACGCCTGCTTCAAACCACTCTTATTTGAGTGCATACTCTCCTCCCACCCCCACTCCACACCGAAAACCAAAATGAAACATATATGTGATAGGAGAGTATATTTTGTGTTGGGAAGTCTGGGGAGGAAGATGTGTTTTGTCCAACCTTGAAATTATAAGATTCTGAAAGGTCTGTCACTCTATCGTCTCAGGTTAGTGCTGCTTAAATATAGGCCCTCCAATACTGAAATCACTTAGTGCAGAGGGTACTTTATGAAACTATATGCACAAAAGCATTCAGTCCGAAACACTGCCAGATCTACAGGTTCATAGCCCTACTGCATGTTTACCCTCCCATTCTCCTCATGGAACCAACTTATTCTGTCTTTATTATTCCCTGTCCTGACTCCTTCAGACTCTGACACACGCTTCTACTCAGGCTTCCACTCAAATATGTCTAACCTACTATTCAGAAACACCTCCCATGTGTAGTTTCCACCTGCTCACTTTCACACTACCCGTGACCTCTTCCTCCCAAACCAGCATTTGCCACCCATCTGGACCTCAAGACTAAAGGGAAGAGAACTAATATTAACTGCTCGTGTTAGCTTTTGCTGCTTATGTGTTCCCCAAGCCCATTATTTGATAATTATCTGTTCACACGTCTGATGCCACACCACACTGTAAGCTCAGGGAGAACTGAGCACAGCCACAGGATCCAAAACCTAACGGACATGCACTCAACACACCTTCATCCGACAAATGTTCACGGAATGCTTAGGTATTTTCCATACATTATCTCATCGAATTGTGCCAACAACACTTCAAAGGAAGAATTCATATCCTAATTTCACAAATGAAAAAAGCTGAGACTTAAGTCTTTTGTTTGAGAACAGCTGATAAGAGGCAGTGCTGTGATTCAGATCTACACAGGCTTAACTCTAAAATCAGATGTTGTCTGTGGATCCCCTTAGTCTATTTGGTGATAATTCCTGCTGTATCTTTTTCCCACCTCTTCTTTGCACCTTCTTACTCACTTTTCTATCTCCTGCTAATATCCCTTTATCTGCTGTCTTTTCCCACTCCTTCGGATTCAGTGGTTAAGATGGAGAATTGGGTTCTTCAATTGTTTCTGAAATGCTAATTTTCCACCTTCTTCCTGATTCCTATTATTTGAAGTCCGGCTATAGCATCTTCCTAAAAATTTCAATGCTGTTGTCTTTACTTCTCCTAACCCAAAGGCACTTTTATTTTAGCAGCTAAGTACTCTTTCTCCTGTAGTCAACAATTTAATGCATAAAAATGACCCTTTAGATTCCTCAAACTCCTCGTTTTTCCAGACTCGTTACGTAAATAGAACTGCCTGCCTATTCCTTCTCACCCAGTAAACATCTTTGTCACACCCTGGGTTTCATCAGCACAGGAACCATTCCAATTTACAGATACAATAATTCCTATTATCTCTCCAATCACATAGCATTCACTAAAACTTTATGCCCAGAAACAGTATTGTTTAGCCATTTCCTCTTAAAACTCTCTTGGCTTCTAAACGTCAAGAGCTGCTTCATTTTTCACTTCTTGTTAATTTGTCATGGGATTGAGGACTCTGAATCTATAAATCAAATAATATTAGACTCACTGGAAGGGATGCATGCAAGGACTTGGGATAAATCTAAAATAGTTTCTTACAAGCAAGAACTCCAGATGCCCATTTCTCTGAATCTACAACAGCTGGGCACCCCTAGGGGGAGCTCCGTCTCACAAAATGTAAGCTACTGACAGTAGCGGGCTATGGGATGGGCTCACTCTAGGGGTGTGGCCTCGCTGGAGAATCTCGGTCCACAAGAACGACTTTGACTTAGAAACAAGTTAGGTTGTAGCCTTTGAAGAATGTCTGCTATGAGTCTAAGCCAGTCCTTGGTACCCAGAGTTCGCAAAGCAAGGACTGGGAGAGAGAGCAACATGCGCAAGACGGATTTCCTTTCCCCTTAACGCTCCCTCGGCTGACCCAGCAAAAGTGGACGGAGTTTGCAGAATTGCACTACTAGCAGTGTCCTTGTGACCATCCGTATAGAATTGAACTGAGCTGAATTCTGGACAAAGCCCGCTGTGTGCCCCTTTCTGCTGGACAAAAGTTTTCCCCATCACCTGCAACAATCTACTTACTTTAAGAGCAAAGTGTCAGGCGGATAGCCTTTGGAAGACCCAGCTATCAGTCCAGGAATGGAGTAATAATAACTGTGATTTGAGTTCGGTCCTAAAGCAGAGAGACGACTTCGAGTTATCATGGTGCGTACAGCAGGGTTTCCTCATCTGAGGTCCAGACAGTGCTTTCACCCTCTTATCCTCATAAGAGTAACCACAATTCCCTCGAGTGAAGAACCCCTCCATTCACTTCTGGAGTCTGCTTTAGAATCACCCTCGACCTTTGCCATCAATTGACTAAGGGCTACTTGTTTTTCCAACGCTGTGTTAGGAAAAAGAAATTCCCCAGGGGACCAGACATCAACTATGTTTCTAAATTCTGCCGCTCTGGTCGGCAGCCCCACTTCAGGGGAAATGAACACGGCTGTTTGCCGTGTGTGGAAGCCCCCCGTTTCCGATCCAGAGCTGACGGCGCGGCTCGGGCTGCCCCCGAGGGCCGGAGGAGCCCCGGGCTTTGGCTCCGCCCCGCTGGGCCCGGCTGGGTGGCCGAGGTCCCCGGGCTCCCGGCCGGGTGTGCAGCAGACGCGTGCGTGCGTGTCCGTGTGGGTGAGGTGAACTGGAGTCACACGGCTGCGTGTCTCCTTCTGAGTGGTTTTGATCGGCAGCCCATTAGGGGATCATGGAAACTTTTTTTCTGGCTGCAAGGATAAAAACTGAGTAAGTACACAGAACTTTGAACTTGAAACGGAATGAAACAAATACAAGCAAAACCCTGACATACCGTGTCCATTCAAACCGCTTGTTCCCCTTTTATGTTAAAAGCCGTGAATGCTTACAGCAAAGTGGCCATTTAACACTGAACGAAGGGAAGCAGTTCAGACGCATAAAAGGCCGAAAGCAGGACTGCTTTAAGATCGGGCGAAAAATGAGGCACCGCTAAGGCCACCTGGCCCGCGCCCAGCTGTGCTGCAGGCGCTCTCGGCTCTACCCACTGCTCTGCAGACTCCAGGTTTACTCTGCTGCTGCTTTCTCTTTTCCTATACGCTGAGGCAGAGTCGGGACTCCTTTTCTGTGAGTTTAAGGATGTTGTGAAAATAAGGCATCGCCGGAAGCAACGGTTTGACAGCCTGGGGTACTCTCAGGTTATGCGTTACAACTATTATTATTTTGATGTCTTTTTTTAACCCAGGTCAGGCACTGTTTGCAGTCATCCATGGAAGGGCTCTTATTAACCGCCTCAGACTTTTGGGACCTATGATTCTTTGGCAGGACCCTTCGGAAAGTTCTCAAACGGAGATGGAGCAAACTTGACTGAAGTCGTGGAAAAAGAAGACGGATTTGTATTTTTCATGCTGACAAAAAAAAAAATAGCTGCTATGACTTTTCTGTCAACGTGGACAGGGGCCAAGTGAAGCTGAGCTGGTCATGTTCTGTCGCCCAGTGTCCCTTTGTCGTCGGCGATTTTGCCCCCGGCCCTTCTTGGTGGGCTTGGTGGTGGCAATCTGTCTCTTCTACCAGACCCTGACACTCCGAGGGACGAGGAAGCTCACAGCCAATGTCCCTGGGACTGCCGCCCCCACACTCACTGAAACCCAGGCAAGTGGATGCAAGAAAGGATTCTCCCTGGACAGACAGTGCTTCCTTCTCTCCAGTAATGCACAGGAAATCAGAAAGGTAAGACTCTCCTAAGCTTAACTGAAACCATTTCTGCAAAGACAGCAATCTGCCTCTCTCTGTCGTTTCTGTAAAACTAAAATTAACTTTCATGAGGTCTGAAAGGGATCCAGAGTATAAACAGCCCAGAGTGACCTGATGACAGGGAAACACATTATTACATAAGCTGCAACCCTTATATTTACTTCTGGAAAGTTTGGGCCATTATTTTATCTGTTAGCATTTCACTTCATTTTAGCAGAATTAAATGGACAGTTTGGAGAAATGGTGACTGATGTGATTTTTTAAAAAAATATTAGGAATCTAAAAGATTTGAGGATTTACAGTTCAGAAACATCAAAGATTCAAAAATTTGATAAACATTGTGTCCCTTTCCTCAAGGCAGTCAGTATGAGTGCTTAGACCATTCCAGACCCAACGATACTCCAAAATTCCATTTTAAAACTGTGTTCATTATTTATTGGCGATCATATTTCTAAAGCAAATATTTATTTCTGAAGCACTTAAAAGAATACGTTTCTTCAAAACAATTGACGCACTGTGTTTTATTGTTTATAGAATTAAGGAAATAGAGACTATTCCATACTGATCCTATTCAGGTTAACTTCACTAATCTTACTTGTCAAGTGTTGAAAAAAAACACAAAATACAAAAAACACGCTGAGTTTCTATTTTAATATACCACTCTGTTTATGCCTGTCGGTAAAATGATGACCTTTAAAACCATACTGTAAGAAAGAAAAAGAAAAAGGAAAAAAAAAAAAAACTACAAACAAAAAAACATGGTGACAAAGTCACTGAATTCTATGCTACAGCAAGTAGTACCATAGTAAGATAATTTGGGAATTTATGAGTAGTATCTTTTATCTACAATAGATTTAGGTAGAGCTTATAATTCTGGTTATCGTTCAGAGAATTATCTTGAAAAACCAGCACTACTGCTACCATTATTACCAACACCTCCAGTGCCACCATCATCTTGTTTAAAAAACTCTTTTATTTATTTCATTTCAGAATCATAACACTGTGAGATAAGTATAGTAGGTATGATTGTCATTACTTCATGGATAAGATGACTGACACTGAAAGATGTTTAGGTAGGCCACGTGGCCAGCATTATGATAAGGTGCTGTCACAGAAAAATAGAAATCCATCTGCTAGGATCCTACTGTAAGACTGATGCTCTAAACAAAAGTAAAATCAAAGCTCTCATAATAATTGTTGACACCACAACTATAAGAACTTATCGAAATACAAAATAATATTAGATTAAAACAAAGAAACTTTGAAAACTTTTAAATGAGTGACTTCATTTGTTATCAATAATGTTAAGATACATCTTGACCGAGAAATATCTTTCAGCAAAGAATAGCAGATAGTATGACTGGAAACACTTTAAGAAGAAACTTCAGCTGAAAGTGCGAGTCAATTTTTAGATGCTATAAAGTAATTAAAATATATGTATTTTTTGTTCACTCATATTAGCATTAATTCTTATTTGCATTTTTTCTTTCTTTCAATACATCGAATTTATGATGGAGGTAAATTATGACTTGTGCAGTCACTTCTTGTTAGTTTTTAATATTGATAAATACAATTTCTTTAAAAATAGTTGAGATAGTATTGCTTTTAAGTGCCTAAATCTTTTACTTAGAACGTTGGACAAAAAGATTTTGTTCATTAACTTACAGCTTTTCTTACTCCCCTACTTACCTGTATGCAATTCCTGCTTTGTTGGTAGTTACGGCATGTATTAACTGTTGTTTGTCAACTGTCATAGAAAATTCCATTTCAACTTTCAATCTCCTGTTACTTATAAATCATCAGAAACTTATTGGCTACCAGTGTAAAATATTTACTCTATAATTTTCTTCACCCAAAATGCCAAACACATGATGATTTTAGTTACCAAATGATTCATAGTCTTAAATATTTTAACCATAAGCAAGATTCTAAATTCACAATTGTAGTCTGGAAAACTGAATATGAAAACTGAATCCCAAACATTAGCCATGTGCCTCCATTTTTAATCTGTGGCAGCCACTGGTTTAGAGCCAATTTTTATTTGAGATGGGAAGAAAGCTAGGACGAAAGTATCATGTAGACATTAGCTAAAACCGGATACAATTAATTCTACTTGTAATATATGTTCCAAAAAGGAATCTAATAATAATCCAGTTTTAAATGACTACATATTCTTTCAGATAGCTAAATTGAAGTAAGAAATTTACTTCAACATACAGTATAGCCCATTCTCAAAATAGTTACTTAAGGAGTTCATTAAAAAAAAAAAAATTGATGAGATGAGATGCTATGTAGTTTTCATAAAGACTTAGAATTAGCTTTTAGGTATTTTATAGAAGTAGCATTTTTTTCTATCTAAAAATTTTGGATTTTTTATTACTTTTATTGGCAAACCAAAATATTTGTGTTATTAGAGCTTTCCCTTACTTGAGTCCATTCATCTTTGCTAGAAGTGTTCTTTAAAGTTACTTAAAACAGCTGGTTTTGAACTATGGTTCATGGATTCCAGAATCTATTTGGATGTATAAAATGATTATAAACCCCCCAAATTTTATGCAAAAAGTTGTATGTATGTGTATGTGCAGATCTCTGGAAAAAAATTATTGATTTCTGTTCGATATTCAGAACTAAATACATGCTAAAACCCACTAAAAATAATTAACAACCAGTGTATTTAAATATTAAACTAACTGCCTATCAGAATGTGTAAATTGATTCTGAATTTATAAACCTAAAACGAAAAAAACTTAAAGAACTGTTAAAAGAACTGTTTCAGGAAATGTCATGGTGTCTGCAAGGATAAACATTCAGAAACCAAAGTGTACTCACTGAGTATTTATCAAATCAGAGTTTTCATTCATTGATGAGTAAGTGATAAGTATTTCCCAGTCTTTTTGGTTGCAGTTGTTTCCAAAAGACCTTCTGTGTTTTATCAGCCCAGTGACAGAGAGTTCTGTAGTAGCAAATATTTGAAGGTGGGTAACTTTGTCTATACACCTTTACAATTGGGATCTGGTTCATGTCTAAAGCTCTTTTCAGTACTGATTGAGACCATGGTATAGTATATGCCAACTTTCCATAGTGAGGAAGTACTCTCCCTCTTTCTGGCCAAATTTTAATTCATTTTTCCATTTGAATGTTCCAAAGGGCCTTGCTAAGCAGATGTACTTTTGTCATTTCTTCTGGGTTTTCTCCCAACTTTAGTTGTTTGAATGTTGTCTGATAATCTGCCAAGTCTTAAAATTATTTTGATTTAGTATATAAACATAGTTGTGTTGTCTTCACTGAAGTAGGTCACTCAGTAGATTTATCTATTTTCATGGAATTAACACTTTAACATTTCATAATACAGGAAGCACATTAAATTATAAGCAGGCACAATGGAGGAAAATCTCCTTAGAATGTGCTCCTTTAATGGAAACTTTGCTATTTGGGGAATACATTTATACTCACCATGGCCATGTGTTTCTGATTATCTCCTGTTGATGGCTCCACAATGAGAACTACTATTTTTTTTGACTGTTGCTTGACTGTTCATTTTCCATTTCTTCTTGACTCTTCCTTCTCTTTCAGAGACTATTATATGTGACTTCTACTCTCTCCAAGATCCAAACACAGCCCAAGGCCAATAAGTGAATGTTCTCATTAAACATATCAAATTCATTTCTAACAGTAAATAATATATTTAACATTTGAAAATTTCTTAAAAATTACTTTTGTAGCCCAGGTTTTCTAGAAACAGAGCCTGAGGCAATCACTTACCTGCTAACACTTTACTGGAGAATGCAATCTCACGGATACAAGAGTGGGGAAGAAAAAAGGTGAAGGAGAGAGAGCAAACCAGAGGGGCTGTCTTCAACTACCCCCTCTCAGAACTGGCATTGGAGGAAAGGGGCAGGAAGGACAAGCAATTTATCTCCTGATAGCCTCCTCTCCATCTTTTTGTTGGTTGGAGTCTATCCCATGCTACTTACAGGCAGTGTCACTTGCATTCTGAGGGCAGCCATGGGGGAAGCCAGAACTTTGGTGGATGTCCTGCAGGTGCAAAGGTGAGGTGGTTCCTCCTTTTCAAACAGTGCTGTGAGTAAGAGCTCCCAGGTCTGCAGTGGCAGAGGTGGTGAAACCAGTGTCCATAGCTTTATGATCACAACAGTGGCCTGAGGAATGCCCACCAGAAGGGTAGAGGAGGAAAGGTGATCTAGTAACTACTGATACAGTAGTGGTGATAATTTTGCTTTCTAAAAATCCACCAAAAATGTGTAAGTGTGCTCTCACTCTTGGAAAATGGCCTCCCTTTCTTTAAATAAAAATTTTGTAATTATCTCACTGAGAAGCCTCCTCTTTAAATGAAAAACAACAACAACATAAAACTCACTTCATTTTTACCCTTTCTTCTCCTGATCCTTTTCATTCATTCTTTCTTTCATTTTATCATTCATTTAGTAAATATTTATTGAGCAATTTGTATGTGCCAGGCTCTTTATGAGATACTAGAGGTACAGAAATAAAAGCCACTGTGAAATAGACAAGTAAATTAACAGTGCTAGAAAACTGATAATGACATGACTCCTTTTTGAAAGGTGAGAAGGAGCTAGGGAGGGTAGAGAAAGAAAAAAGTATTACAGGTAGAAAAACCCACACATGCAAAAAAGAAATTACATAGCTTGACACAACTGGATAATTCAAAGTATTTATTATGCAGTGTGTGTGTGTGTGTGTGTGTGTGTGTGTGTGTGTCTTTATGTCTATGTGGCACTGAAGGAAGAAGGAAGGCAAATACATAAGAAAGAAAGTTCACCTGGGTCTTGATGTTAGAAATGTGCACATGATAAGGAGTCTGGATTCTATATGGAACGTAACAGAGAATTCCTGAAGGATGTTAAGCAAAGAATAGCATGAAAAGATTTATATGTTAGAACACTCCAAAGCACCCACTGCAGAACAGACAGGAGCAGAGGAGAGCTGAAGGTAGGGAG